TCCCAGCCCACCACACAGTGAATCCCAGAGTCCAGTGCACAACTCAGACTCTCAACCTCCAACACTAGGACAAGAGAGCTTTGGTAACTAGCCTGTAAATTACAGTATTGGCTATTTATAAGTAATGTTATTTTATTAAGTTTATTTAAATCTTTTTTTTTTCAGGTCCTTATACATTGATTTTGATATTTTTCCAAATTTTATTTTGATCAAAATGTGCATTCCCATGGTTATTTCTCAATTTCTACTTCACAGTTAAAAGATCTGCCTTTGTTTATCTGTAATCAACCATACATGTAATCACTGTTTATGGTTCTTTTATCGCTAATCTGGATCTGCAATTGTTCTAGAATCCTGTGTGCCTTCTTCAGACTTGATTGATGAACCACCCACTCTAACAAAGGAGGAGCCAGCCCTTTCTACTTCCCAGGTATTCAATGGTGATGGAAGCTCACTATTGATGTCAAATTCTCTTTAACAGCCAATGTTTTTTTCTTCTGTGGTTTTTTAGAGAACTTATATATATGAGATTCCTAGCAGAGCGAAAATCACACAAAGATTTGTCATTAATGAAGATTCCAAAACTGGGTATGGATGCTCCCAGGCAACACAGAAAATGGAGTGGGGGGTGCTGGGTGATGTGGGTTTTGGAAATGGGCCTACACAAACTGAACTTTACCACGTGGTGCAGATATTGAGAATAGGTCTAGCCACATGACACTTGGTTTTGGTGGTTTGGCATGTGACAAGATAACTTACATCTGTTAGTGAGTGGGCTCAAGCCTTGTCTGTAGTATTCCAATGTAAATGTCTAAAACCATGTAATGAAAATGCATAGAACAGCTTAGTCATATAAACATCAGTCTGCTTTGCCTAGAACTACAGTATTGGTTGTTTATTTTTTTATTTTTTTATTATTTGTTTAAGTATGTAAAATATCTTTGTGCACACGGTTTGACTGCCATTGGCTTGGCGGAAAGAGGTGGTGATCAGCACATTGACCAGAATATAACGTATATAATATTATTTGTTAGGCAGTGCTCACTTTTCTAGTCCTATGCTACTAGCCATGCAAACTACTGCAAGCCTGGAGGTTGTATGGTCCACATACCAGTGATAAATGGCTACTGAATTTTCACTTGCCAGTGGCTAGGACAAGTGGAAGTTTTGAGCCATGTGTTAGAATTTATTAATGTGGCAATTCCAAAAATATTCTGTTTGTTTATTTTGACAGAGTGAGGAGATGGACGATTCTGGAGCCCCTCCTCTGAAGAGGGTATGCCGAGATGTGCCTTCAGAGCTCCCCGCTACTTCAGAGAGTTAATTTCTGCCATAAATTGCACTTATTCGTCTTGCTGTGACAGCCTTTGGAGAGCCTTAGCTGACAATGTTTGCACTGGTGGCTGGATGTTGTAATTACCCAAATGCACTTACTAATTGAAGGAATGTCGTCCAGCCTCAGAGGCACAATGGAAAGAGTCAAACTCAGTTCTGCTTGGAATAAAGACTTTTTTTTTTTTCTCCCTTTTCTTTTCACCTTCTTCAAAGAAGCCACACTGCACTATTGCTTTCACCATTTCTATGCCAGAAATGCATATCTTTCCCTGACATGTAGATGGTCAATGCAGTTGTTGATTACTCTTCACTCAGACCTATTTTCTAGTGCCTACTCTAAAATAACATAACCAGGCACTTGTTCACTATCAACAGCATCATCATCCTTTTA